AGAGCTTTTCTCTTGCATTAGTGGCTCAGTGCCTTCTGTGGGTATTCCCATCCTGCAGGAGAGAGACTATTCCTTGGGGACTGTAAGTGTCTGTGTGTGTGTTCCTGCAGAAATGCATGCCATCTTAAAAGGTCTACAGCCTCATTTTTCTAAGCAGAGAATGCTGAAATCTCCCCAGAGAGGCCAGTCCTGCCTCCACTACATCCGACAGCGTGCCCAGGCCCTTGGAAGCTTTACTCCTTGTGTCTTGGCTTCAGTTTAGCTGGTGAGGGGGCGGACAGGGAAGAGACTCCAGTCAGGATAAAAATAACCTAGGAGAGATCTCTCAATCATGCCAAGACTCCTGAATCTTACTCCCTGGGGTAGGCCTGGACCCAGAGTCTAGAACAGTTTCCATGGATGATTCTTGGGAATACTTGAGCCTCTGGCAGCTCAGTCTTTTGAATTAGATTCAAACACCGAACCTTGCCAAAGAGCGCTCTTCTGAAGGGATCTCTGCAGTTGGGGAGGGGACTCTGGGTTAGTGGTTCACCTCCTTCTTGGAAGTTTCCCTTCCTTCCAGGGGTCCTCTGCTTCTGTCCTGTGACAGCCACCACCCACAGGAATTAGGCTCGTTACTAAAACTGCACAAAGGCCTCCAAGGTCTGGGCTGAGCCTGGAAGGATTTGGAGGCCTCTTTGAGCAAACCTATCCCACCCCCTCACCTCCCCAAGCTCCACAAGGCTCATATCTGGATGGTCACCAGGTTTCACAGCCCTACTATGAGCCAGGCACCCAACACACAGAGAGGGAATAGTAAACTGATGACTGAATTACACTACCCTAGGAGTGGGGGCAGACCCCCCTGCCCCATCCCCAGGGTTGCCTGTCTGAGTCAGGTCATTTCAACTCCCGGTGGCCCTGTCAGGCCAGTCTCTGGCTGGCCAGGTTTGCTGAGCTGAGGCCCGTTGCCTGGTAGGTAATTGACCTGGGAAGCCCAAAGGGAGGTGGTAGGGGTTGGGGAGCCCCAGGTGCTGCAGGAAATGGAGCTGCTTATTCAGTGGCTCCTTCCCTCTGCCTTGGAGGCTAGGAAGCTGTCAGGCCCAGGAAGCGGTAGCTGCTCTCTAAGGAGGCAAGACCTGGTTCTGCCCCTCTCGGGGAGATCATGGGTCTGCGGAGCATTTCCTGAAGAGCTGCAGCGGCTGGCAGTTAATGGGACCCTCTTCCCAGCACTCCATTCTTCCTCTGTACGTGCTACCCTTCTTCCTAGGACAGGATTTGTTTTGTCCTCTGGGGCTCCCAGACTGAACTGCTTAGAGGGAGGAAAGCCAGTTGTAGAATGTGACCATGTGACCATCACCCCTCTGAGAAGATTTTCTGCGAGCTCTGGGAGAAAGGGACCACAAGAGGACTGGGTGCAGTGGCTCATGTCTGTAATCCCAGCACTTTGGAAGGCCAAGGCAGGTGGATCACCTGAGGTCAGGAGTTCAAGACCAGCCTGGCTCACATGGCGAAACCCCATCGCTACTAAAAATACAAAAGTTAGCCAGATGTGGTGGCGCGCACCTGTAATCCCAGCTACTCAGGAGGCTGAGGCAGGAGAATCGCTTGAACCCAGGAGGCAGAGGTTGCAGTGAGCCGAGATCATACCACTGCACTCTAGCCTGGGCGATAGTGAGACTGTCTCAATAATAATAATAAAATAGCCTGAGTGCAGTGGCTCACGCCTGTAACCCCAGCACTTTGGGAGGGCTAGGCAGGCAGATCATCTGAGGTCAAGAGTTCAAGACCAGCCTGGCCAACACAGCGAAACCCCATCTCTACTAAAAATACAAAAAATAGCTGGGTGTGATAGTGCGTGCCTGTAGTCCCAGCTACTTAGGGAGGCTGAGGCAGGAGAATTGCTTGAACCCAGGAGGCAGAGGTTGCCGTGAGCCAAGATCATACCACTGCACTCTAGCCTGGCAACAGAGCGAGACTCCATCTCAAAAAAATAAATAAATAAAAATAAAAATAAAGGGACCAGGAGAGGATAAAGTTATCCTGCCTCTAGGTCAAAGGGGTGGGACAGTAGTCAAGACGAAGGACATCCCCTGAAGGGTCAGGTGGTCAGATGGTTGTGATAAAGCACAGGAATGATGATCCCTTGACAGTGTCCAGCCCGGGGCTTGGTTCTGAGAAGCACCTGAACTGTACCCACAGTCACACGTAGGGAGTGTTTCATCCAAAGGTTATCTGAGTGTGGTACCTTCTGCCAGCAGCAGCACCTGCAAACTTACTTGTTCAAAAGGCTAATTCTCAGTCCCCAAGATCTATTGAATCAGAAACTCGGGAGTTCGATCCAGCAATCTACAAGCCCTCTAGGTGGTTCTGATGCATGCTCAAGTTCAAGAACTAATACTGGTATAATCTGACAGGACTCCAGAGCTGGATTGCCCAGTAAACTTTCTTCATTTGAAAATTCATTGACATTCATCAAACATTGATTAGCACCTACAACGTGCTAGATCCCTTGTCAAACCACATAAGAAGACTGAAGTGGGGTAAACTACAGTTCCCACCTTCCAGGCAGACTGGCCAGTAAACACAAAGAAAGGTAAAAAACAAGTAGGTGATCTTCTGGCTAGGGGGGTTACAGAGGGCTTCTCAGAGGAGGTGGCACTTGGGTTGGGCCTTGAAGGATAAGAATAAATAGGCAGAAAATGAAAATGAAGAAGCCAGGGAAGGGTTCCAGGAACTTTTTTTTTGGCGTGGGGAGCTCACTCTGTCCCCCAGGCCAGACTACCACGGCATGATCACAGTTCACTGCAGCCTTGACCTCCTGGGCTCAAGCAATCCTCCCCCTCAGCCACCCAAGTAGCTGGGAATACAGGTGTGCACTTCCATGCCTGACTAATTTTTCTTTTCTTTCTTTTTTTTTTTTTTTTAGAGATTGAGTCTATGTTGCCCAAGCTAGTCTTGAACTCCTGATCTCAAGAGATCCTCCTGTCTCAGCCTCCCAAAGTGTTGGGATTACAGGTGTGAACCATCAAGCCTGGCCTCAGGAACATTTTTCTAAAACCAAAATCCAACTTTTAAAAGTGTCTTATTAAAAAAAAAAGTGTCTTATTACTGTGGGGATAAACTCAAGTACCTCAGCACAAGCTTCTTCGTGGTCTAGCCGGTGTCCCTCCTCGACCCCATCTCCTGCCACTCCACTCGTTTCTTTTTACTTTTCTTTTTACACAGTTTCACTCTTTTTTGCCCAGGCTGGAGTGCAATGGCGCGATCTCAGCTCTCTGCAACCTACACCTCCCAATTTTTTTTTTCACCTCCCAATTTCAAGCAATTCTCCTGCCTCAGCCTCCCAAGTAGCTGGAATTACAGGTGCATGTCACCATGCCCAGCTATTTTTTTCTTTTTTCTTTTCAGTAGAGACAGGGTTAGGCCAGGCTGTTTTCAAACTCCTGACCTCAGGTGATCCGGCTGCCTCGGCTTTCCAAAGTGCTAGGATTACAGGCATGAGCCACCGCGCCTTGAAACCTGTTTCTTACATTTAAGTAACACTGAACTTCTTGGAGACACACATACACACAGCATGCTATTTTTTGTTGCCAGGCTTTTGCCATGTGCTGGCTGGCTTGACAGTTCTGGTATATGTGCTTTGAATTCAGCTGTCATCTACAAGCACTGCTGCTGAAATGTTCCAGTATGGCAGGCTAAGTCTAAATCCATACAAGTCTCTTTAGCACTGTAAATTGCTTCTGAGTTAGGGTATAGGTTTATTAATTCTCAGGAATCCCAAGGGCTCATAAAAAGGTGTTCAGCATTATTAATCATTAGGGAAATACAAATTAAATCTGTAACTAGATACCGTTACACATCTATTAGGATGGCAAAATTTTTTTACTGAAAATTTCAAGCACTGACAAGGATGCAAAGCAACTCTCACACTCTGCTGTCAAGAGTGCAGAATGGTACAGCCACTCTGGAAAACTACTTCGTAGTTTCTTTTTTCTTCTTCCTTTTTCTTTTCTTTTTTTTCTTTTTCTTTTTTTTTTTTTTTTTTTTTTGAGATGGAGTCTCTCTGGATCTTGGCTCACTGCAACCTCTGCCTCCCCATCACGATTCAAGCAATTCTCCTGCCCCAGGCTCCTGAGTAGCTGGGATTACAGGTGCATGCTGCCATGCCCAGCCACTTTTTATATTTTTAGTAGAGACAGGGTTTCACCATGTTGGCCAGGCTGGTCTTGAACTCCTGCCCTTGTGATCTGCCTGCCCAGGCTGGAATGCAATGGCATCATCTTGGCTCACTGAAACCTTCACCTCCCGAGTTCAAGCGATTCTCGTGCCTCAGCCTCCCGAGTAGCGGGGGCTACAGGAATGTGCCACCACACCAGGCGAATTTTTTATTTTTACAAAATACAGACGGAGTTCACCATGTTGGCCAGGCTGGTCCTGAACTCCTCACCTCAGGTGATCCGCCAGCCACGGCCTCCCAAAGTACTGGGATTACAGGCGTGAGCCACCGCGCCCAGCCCCTGTCTCTATTTTTAAAAATAAAATGTAAGGAAAAAAAGTAGGCGTGTGTGTGTGTGTGTGTGTGTGTGTGCGCGCGCGCGCGCGCGCGCTCGCTCGCAAAACAGGGTCTCCCTCGGTCGCCCAGGCTGCAGTGCAGTGGCGCGATCTCGACTCACTGCAGCCTCGGCCTCCTGAGCTCAAGCGATCCTAAAATTGGGACATTAATGCCTGCTGCAGAGCATGTCGCCGAGGAATAAAGGTGCCCTGCATAACGCCTGGCACACAGTAAGGGCTCCGCAGTCGCTAGTTCCCGACCAGAGCACGCCAGGCACGTAGCAGGCGCGAAGGGTGGTCAGTCTGGCAGGCACCCGAAGGCGCCCGGGAGTCCTGCGGGTGGGGCCGCCGGTTTCCTCCGGGCAGCAACAACGAAATGCGCATGCGCAAACCGCGGCCAGGCCTTGGAGCGGCGCCCGAAGGGGCGGCGGGAAGCGCAGCTGCGCGTGCGCAGAAGGCTTGGCGGGCGCGCGGCGGGAGCTCTGAGGTCGCGGGACTAGCGGGCGAGTCAGTACCTCAAGCGGACTTCGTTCGAGGTCGGCGCCCTCCCTTTTCAGAGAGCACTTCTTAGTGGGTATTCTGGCGGGGGCCATCTTTCTGAGGCCTCCAAGGACCCCTAATCAGTGTGTCAGACACAGCCTGACCGAGCCTGGGAGCCACCTGGCGCTGGGGTAACGGCACACAAAAAAAACGGCTCGGGGTCCTCTGGAAGTTATCTTTGCGTTTCTGTTTATTTCTGAGGGAAGTTTCCGGCCCAGGCCCCACCTCCACAGCCGAAGTGCAGCCCCCTCCCCGCTGAGGTCCCTTTCTCAGTGCCGGACTCCCGGGACACTAGCAGGCTCCCCCAGCATCCAGGCCGTGCCGCTGCAGGGCTCCCACGTGGAGGCCATGGGACTGGCGCGCAGGCTGCAGGCCGAGATGGTGCGAGGATGAGACGGGGCCCCCAGGCCTGTGCCCCCTGCCTCGAGCGAGTGACCGGGCACAGAGATGCCGGGATCCCTGTCATCTGCCGACTCCAGGGACTGCTCTTTCCCCATTCCACACCCAGCGCCCCTAACCGCGACCTTTTTTTTTTTTTTTTTTTTGAGAGGGAGTCTAGCTCTGTCATCCTGGGTGGAGTGCAGTGGCGCGATCTTGGCTCACTACCACCTCAGCCTCCTGGGTTCAAGAGATTCTCCTGGCTCAGCCTTCCGAATAGCTGGGATTACAGGCATGCACTGCCACGCTCGGCTAATTTTTGTGTTTTTGGTAGAGATAGGGTTTCACCATGTTGGCCAGGCTGGTCTTGAACTCCAGACATCAAGTGATCCACCTGCCTCTGCCTCCCAAAGTGCTGGGATTACAGGCATGAGCCACCGCACCTGGCCACACCCCGCCTTCTTACCACACACTTTCTCCAGGAACTAAAGTGTTCCTTCTGGTCTATACCCACCCTCCAACCCGGGCTAGCAGTTGCCATGAAAACAAGATTTCTTCCCTTGAAACATTTCCTGTCACATCATGTCTTGATTTGAATGAGTTTCTGGCTTTCAAATGCCTGATTGCACCTTGCAAGTAAATATGAGTCATGTAACTGAGATTGTGCAGCTCCCCAGAGCCTTGATTGAATTTTGGCATCTGGGCACATGGACAGAAAGATGCCAGCAGGTATACTTTGCTGAACATCTTTTCCTTTTTTGAATTCTAGTTCCTTTGTGAGTTCATCTGCAGGTAGGAAGCCACAGTTTCCAGCAATCTATCTAGAATCTCTCTTTGAATATCTCCTTGGCATCTCAAACTTGAGCATGTCCAGATACAGACTCAACGTCTTGCCCTCAAAAATTTACTTTCCAAGGCTCCTGTTTTTGGGAAGTGGTGCTTTTACCTCTTCAGTTACTTGCCAAAGCAACCTGGAGTCATTGCTCTCTCTCACCTCTCTCAAGTCACCAAGTTATTACTAGGCAACTTCCAAATCAGTCCACTTCATCTTCACCTTTATCACAGTAGACCAGGCTACTGTCAGCTTCTGCCTTGAGCCGGAGAAGGCTCCTAGCTGGTCTTTCATCTGTTCTTGTTCCGGGTTGTTTCCCACATTGCAGCCAGGAGGGGTGTTTTTTTTTGTTTTGTTTTGTTTTTTTAAGTCACAGCCATCTGGTCATGTCATTTTTTTATTATACCCTTCAGTGCCTCCTGGTTGCTCTTACGGTAGATTCCACAACCTGTAACGTGGTTTATAAGAAAGGCCCTCATCCCTTCTCTACAATTTCTCCCTAGATGATCTCATCTATTCCAGTAGTTTCACATACCATCTAAACACTGGTGACTCAAATGTATATTTCTGTCTTGATTTCTGTCCCTCACACACTAGGAGATTGCCTCCTTGGTATATCCACTTGGATGTCTCATAGGCCTCTTAGACTTAAAACAGAACCACTAATTTCCCCTGCTCCCTCCCACCCCAAATCTCTTCCCCTAGAATTATTCCCCATCTCAGTAGAGTATGTACCATTGTCTACCTAATTACAAAGGCAAAAAACCTGAGAGCCTTCCTTGATTCACACATCTAGTTCATTAGTCTAAAATATATCTCAACTCCAACTATTTACTTATTTCTAAAATCCCAAGTCCAAATCAGCAGCATCTTTCTCCTGGATGACTACAGAAAGCTTCCTAAATTGTCTCCCTGCTTCTGCTCCTGTCCCCTTACAGTTCATCTTCCTTTCAGGCACCAGACATTTAGATATTTTGGACCAAGCATGGTGGCTCATGCTTGTAATTCCAGCACTTAGGGAGACTGAGGTGGGCAGATTGCTTGAGCTCAGGAGTTTGAGACCAGCCTGGGTAACATGGTGAAACCTCACCTCTGCAAAAATTAGCCGGTATGGTGGTGAGTACCTATAGTCTCAGCTACTTGGGAGGCTGAGGTGGGGGACTGCTTGAGCCTGGGATGTTAAGGCTGCACTGAGCTGTGATTGTGCCACTGTACTCTAGCCTGTGTGCCAGAGAGAAATCCTGTCTCAAAAATAAATAAAAATAGATATTTAGATGTTTGTGAAGCATACATCACATCATTTATCTTCCCCTTATAAAATACTTAGCATAAAATCTGAACTTTTTACAATGGCCTACAAGCCTTACATGATCTGGTCCCTGCCTGACACTCCATCTTCATCTTCCTCCTCTCTGTCTTCATTCTCAATGTTCTAGCCACATTGACCTTTCTGTCCATTAAACTGCTCATCAAAGGCATCCGTGCTTGCTGATTTTTCTGCTTGGAATGCTTTTCCGCATGATCATTGCTCCCTTCCATGAAGGCCTCAACTCGGTTGTGATCTCTTCTGAAAGGTCATCACTGGCCATCCTAACTAAAGCAGGCTTCTAGTCATCCTAAATTAAAACCATATCTTATTTTCTTCACACTACTTAGAGTACCTCAATTTATATTTATTGATTTATATGTTTAATGTTGCTCTCCACACCTCCTGAAATGTAAGCCCATAAAGACAAGGAATCATGTCTCTCTTGTTACTTATCATATTAGTGCCCAGAACAGTGCCTGATGCACTGATGGGTCTCTGATATGTGCTGACTGACTGACTTATCTGTATAGTCTCACCTTGTAACACTGCCTTTCTTGCCCACCCTATTTGGGTTTCTGTACTTTTGTCTTTTGAAAGCGCCATGCTTTTTCTCAACTGAGTACTCTTGTACCTGCTATTTCCCTACCCACCCCAGACCCAGCATCCACTCTTCATTTGTGCCTCACTAGCTCATATTCTGCCTTTAGAAATTAGTCACTTAATGCTGAGCGCGGTGGCTCACGACTGTAATCCGAGCACTTTGGGAGGCCAAGGCAGGCAGAGCACGAGGTCGGGAGTTTGAGACCAGCCTGACCAACATGGTGAAACCCTGTCTCTACTAAAAATACAAAAATTAGCTGGACATGGTGGTGCATGCCTGTAATCCCAGCTACTCAGGAGGCTGAGGCAGGAGAATCACTTGAACCTGGCAGGCGGAGGTTGCAGTAAACTGAGATCACACCACTCTACTCCAGCCTGGGTGACAGAGTAAGACTCTGTTTCAAATAAATAAATATATATATATAAATAAGTCACTTACTTAGAGTGGGATTCCCTGACATGTTATGGGGAAACGTAACCTAGAACCTAGGTTCTAGGCTACATGTCTCCTATCTTTTATTGTAGCAGGCATCACATTTAAAATTATTTATAAGCTCTGTGCAGGCAAGGAACAACTTCTTAAGTGCTCCCTACTTCATCTATAGCCCTTAGTTGTTTCTTTTTCTTTCTTTTTCTTTTTGAGACAGAGTTTTGTTCTTGTTGCCTGGGCTGGAATGCAATGGCATGATCTTTCCTCACTGCAACTTCCGCTTCCCGAGTTCAAGCAATTCTCTTGCCTCAGCCTCTGGAGTCGCTGGGATTACAGGCACGCGCCACCACGCCCAGCTAATTTTTTGTATTTTTGGTAGAGACGGAGTTTCACCATATTAGCCAGGATGGTCTCAATCTCCTGAACTTGTGATCCACCCTCCTTAGCCTCCTAAAGTGCTGGGATTACAGGCGTGAGCCACTGCGCCTGTCATTTCTTGGGTATTTTCTTTTTTTCTTTTTTTTTTTTTTTTTTTGAGGCGGAGTTTCACTCATGTTACCCAGGCTGGAGTGCAATGGCGCGATCTCGGCTCACCGCAACCTCCGCCTCCTGGGTTCAGGCAATTCTCCTGCCTCAGCCTCCTGAGTAGCTGGGATTACAGGCACGCGCCACCATGCCCAGCTGATTTTTTGTATTTTTAGTAGAGACGGGGTTTCACCATGTTGACCAGGATGGTCTCGATCTCTTGACCTCGTGATCCACCCGCCTCGGCCTCCCAAAGTGCTGGGATTATAGGCTTGAGCCACCGCGCCCGGCCGATTTCTTGGGTATTTTCAAGGAAAAGTTCTTGGTTGGAATTTGTCTAATTTTGCATTGAAATTAAAGCTAATCAGTTTTGCACGTGTGCTCTCTTTTAAGAATTGATTTCCTAGAAAATTTTGCTCTCTTGAATTTGCTTTTTTTTTGAAATGGAGTCTCATTCTATCCCTCAAGTGCAGTAGTGCCATCTTGGCTCACTGCAACCTCTGCCTACCACATTCAAGCGATTTTCATGCCTCAGTCTCCCAAGTAGCTGGGATTACAGGTGCCTGCCACCACATCTGGCTAATTTTTATATTTTTAGTAGAGATGGAGTTTCACCATCTTGGCCAGACTGGTCTCAAACTCCTGACCTCAGGTGATCCACCCATCTTGGCCTCCCAAAGTGCTGGGATTACAAGCATGAGCCACCACGAAAGGCTTTGAATTTACTTTTCTAGTGAAGCATTAGGGAGAAACTCTTCAAATATATCATAATGGCTAACGTTTATATAATACTCTAGAATTTACAAAGTGGCTACTTACAGCATTATATCATTTAATCCACACACTCCAGGGGCCGTTGGAATCCCCATTTGTAGATGGAGAAACTAGGAAATGAAGAGGTTAAGTGACTTGCTCAGGGACTAATGGCTAATAGTGGCAGAAGCAGGACTCAAGCCTTGGTCCTCCAATTCCAAATCTTCGTCTTTTGCACTTTATCATATGGCCTGTAACTCTTCTTCCTTTGTTTTAATACCATGGTTTGTGATCACATAAAAATGTGTGGAGAGTCTGAGCCTTCATATGCAAGATCTCATCAACTTAATAATAGTTACTGGGACATAGTATCACCATGGCCACAGTACTCAATGTTGGAAAATAACCCTGTGAAATATTTGAACCACTACTCCTATGTGGTTGTTTGGGATATGCAGTCATCTAATCTTTATTTTCAAATGAGGTAATTAGTGTATGGTGTTTGTTTCTGAAGGAGGCAGCCAGCAATTAACAGGAACAGGCCCTAGCTGGAAGAGGATTGTTTTTTCTTCTTTCAGACAACCAGCTGTGATATAGCACATGAAATTTCCTCTTTGGACTGTCATTTCCAACAAATGTCTATCATTTCCTTTGCTCTGATGCCCCATCCCCCTGTTGGGGGTGGAGTGGGAGGCAAGTTATTGCATCCTAGTGGAATCCCCTGGCTAGATGGCCGTGGCTCATGCCTGTAATCCAGCCCTTTGGGAGGCCGAGGCAGGAGGATCACTTGAGGCCAGGAGTTCAAGACCACCCTGGGCAACATAGTCAGACCCTGTTTCCAAAAATTTTAAAAATCAGCTGGGCATGGTGGTACACACCTGTAGTCCTAGCCACTCAGGAGGCTGAAGTGGGAGGATCGCTTGAGCCTAGGATTTTGAGGCTGCAGTGAGCTATGATTAAACCACTGTATTCTAGCTTGGATGGCAGAGCAAGACCCTGTCTCTTAAAAAAAAAAAAAATCTAGGCATGGTGGTTCATACTTGCAATCCCAGCACTTTGGGAGGCTGAGGCAGGCAGATTGCCTGAGGTCAGGAGTTCAAGACCAGCCTGGCCAACATGGTGAAGCCCCATCTCTACTAAATATATAAAAATTAGCTGGGCATGGTGGCATGCACCTGTAGTCCCTGCTACTTAGGAAGCTGAGACAGGAGTATGACTTGAACCTGGGAGGCAGAGGTTGCAGTGAGCCAAGATCGCGCCACTGCACTCCAGCCTGGGTGACAGAGTAAGACCCTGTTTCAAAAAAACAAAAACAAAAAAAGAATCCTTGGAAGAATTAAGGGTTAAATTTCTGTGGCTGCAATGTAAGTCTCACCAGGTGGGCTCCCTGCCTACTGAGAAGAGTCATCTGGCACCAAAACATCAAAACTAGCCTGGGTTCCTGCCATGCCTTCAGCATAGGGCATCAGTAAGTTTTTCTCAGGATATGATCGGCACTTCGCCTCTGGGGACTGTGCAGTTGGCACAACTATTTCTTTTCATTTTTGACTGCAATTCTAGTCTAAATAGTCTCATGGGCTCTGGCTGCAATCTCCTGTCATTCTAATCCCAAGCAGCCAAGATCAGACACTGGAGTATCTCTTTACGGGCAGCCCCAGACTTGAACTTTGGAAATTGTGGGAAATTCCATTCTTTGGGCACATAGAACTTGTGACTGTACGATAGAAGAGCTTCTACCATGGAAGTATTTTCCCTGCTGAGTAGAAATGGCATCAGAATAATATGGAGAAAGGCATTATGAAAATAGTTTTTTGGGTGTATATGATATTTTACTACTTTAAAAAGTGATTTATGTTTATTATGTTTTTTTCCTCCTTATAACCCCAGGAAGCAGATTGGCAGAGTGGTTAAGAATACCAAGTCTGGATCTGTATTGCCTTAGTTTAAATTCACATTCCAACATTTATAGCTATGGGCAGTTTATTTCATCCCTCAGTGCCTCAGTTTCCTCACCTATCAAATTTAGACTTAGAGACGTCTAGTGAGGATTAGAATAGGGCATGGCAAAAGTTGATATAGAGCATTGTTATTGTGTAAGTAAGAAAACCAAGTTTCAGAGAAATTAGGGACATTGGACTGAGATTCAAAGTCAGATTCTCCTTATTTTGGGCCTGTTCTGTCTACTCCATCTTAGCTGCCTCTGAAAGCAATACCTTGTATATTTGTAGGGTACTCTTCTATGTCGCTAGTTTTGATCCTTAGGAACTCTGGAACTTCTCTAATTATTTATTTTTATTTCTTCCATCTCTCCTCATTCCTTAACTCCCCACAGAGAGGACCTTAAGTGGACAGAGATTCTAGAACAGGAGAAATAAAACAGTAAGTGCTAGGGGTATAGTACGCACTCTTGGGACACAGGGAAGCCTCACAAATGGTGGAGAGGAAGAGTAATTGATAGATCTAGAAAATAAGCCATTCCTTGGTACCACTCAAAAACGTTAATGTACAACCTCATTTGCTACATTGGTTGTGGCGGGGAGTTGTAGTGACATCTTAATTTCATCTAAAATTGATAGCAAACATCCTCCTAATTGGTGTATCCTTTGGATTGTATCATTATTTAACTTGAGCTCTCTCTGTATCCACTGAGATTCCAGTGAAAGTGGGGAGGAGAGAACAGATTCAAGAGATACTTGGAGGTCTGGAGTGGTGGCTCATATCTGTAATCCCAGAACTTTTGGGAGGCTGAGGCAGATGGTTCACCTGAGGTTGGGAGTTCGAGACCAGCCTGACCAACATGGAGAAACAAATACAAAATTGGCCAGGCATGGTGGCACATGCCTGGAATCCCAGCTACTTAGAAGACTGAGGCAGGAGAATCACTTGAACCTGGGAGGTTAGGTTGTGGTGAGCCGAGACTGTACTGCTACACTCCAGCTTGGGCAACAAGAGCAAAACTCCATTTCAAAAAGAGAGAGAGAGAGAGAGAGAGAGATACTTGGGAGAAACATTTAATTCTAACAAAGACCCTGTGAGTCATCAGGGCAGATATTCATATCATTAGTCTTATGGAAGAGAAACGATTTGCACAAGATCATAAATGACAAAACTTGTATTCTGGTCTTTTTCCCCATGCAGGTAGGAGAATGGTCCAAGTGATGAATAGCAGCATTGATCCTGGTACATAAGCAGTAGTGCTGAGTGTGGACCTTTTACTCATGAAGAGATGTTACAAATTGGGCAGGTTCCCTTTCCTGTAAATAAGGAGTAATCTTTAGCTTTTTAGTAATTCTCTAATATTTCTATTTTATTTAGGACATCATTTGGGAGCAATGAGTTTAAAACCCTTTACCTACCCATTTCCAGAGACAAGATTTCTTCATGCAGGATCCAATGTGTATAAATTCAAAATCAGATACGGGAACAGTATCAGGTAATTTCAAAGGTAGGAGGGTAGTCTATGTAAACATCGGTTAGTGCTAGTGCATTCCCACAGGTCACTCCTTTTCTACCTTCAGCCAGGTGAGTTCAGGAGAGTGGTAAAGTAGCATCTTGCAGAATGTCTTTCCCAGGAATTTTATATTCAATATATATATATATTATTCATATGAGTCTCTAAACTAGGAACAGCATATCTTTTTTTTTTTTTTTAAGAGAACTGGATCTCACTGTGTTGTCCAGGCTAGTCTCAAACCTCTGGCCTCAAGCAGTCCTCTCACCTCTGCCTCCCTAAGTATTGGGATTATAGGTATGAGCCAACATACCCAGCCTAGGACCTATGTTTGAAGCAGTGTTTCTCAAAATTTTTCATCTCGGGCCCAGGAGCAGTGGCTCATGCCTGTAATCCCAGCAGTTTGGGAGGCCAAGGTGGATGGATCACTTGAGGTCAGGAGTTCAAGACCAGCCTTGCCAACATGGTAAAACCCTGCCTCTACTAAAAATCCAAAAATTAGCCGAGCATTGTGGTAGGCGCCTGTCATCCCAGCTATTCGGGAGACTGGGGGCAGGTGAATTGCTTGAACCTGGAAGGTGGAGGTTGCAGTGAGATGAGATTGTGCCACTGCACTCCAGCCTGGGCGACAGAGAAAAAAAAATTTCATCTCAGGACTCCCTTGAAATGTTTCTTTTTTTCTTTTTTTTCCCAAGACAGGGTTTCATGTATAGTGGTGTGATCACTGCAACCTAGACCTGCTGGGCTCAAGGGATCCTCCCACCTCAGCCTCCAGAGTGGCTAGGACTACAGGCATAGTGCCACTACACCTGGCTAATTTTAAAATTATTTTTGGTAGAAGTGAAGTCTCACTATTTTGCTCAGGCTGGTCTCAAACCCCTGGGCCCAAGGTATCTTCCCTTCTCTGCCTTCTGAAGTGTTGGGATTCCAGGCATGAGCCACCCGTACCCAACTTGCATTCCTTAAAATTATTAAGGACCCCAAAGAGCTTTTGATTATATCTGTCAATATTTGTCATAAAAATTAAAGCAAAAAATTAAAATGGTGTTTATTAATTTAAGAATAATATATGCAAGAAGTACAATATTATTAAAGTTATATTTAGTGAGCCAGGTGTGATGGTTTATTCCTGTAATCTCAGCACTTTGGGAGGCCGAGGTGGGTGGATCACGAGGTCAAGAGATTGAGACCATCCTGGCCAACGTGGTGAAACCCTGTCTCTACTAAAAATACAAAAAAATTAGCCGGGTGTGGTGGCACGTGCCTGTGGTCTCAGCTACTCGGGAGAGTGAGGCAGAAGAATCGCTTGAATCCAGGAGGCGGAGGTTGCAGTGAGCCAAGATTACGCCACTGCACTCCAGCCTGGCGACAGAGCAAGACTCCATCTCAAAAATAAATAAATAAATAAAATTATATTTAAAAATTGAGAAGATTGGCATTATTTACAGTCCTGGGATTTACCCCAGGGTTGCCAGGATGGTTTCAACATGTAAAAACCCATCAGACCTGTAATCCCAGCACTTAGAGAGGCTGAGGTGGGTGGATCACTTGAAGTCAGGAGATCCAGACCAGCCTCCCCAACATGACAAAACCCCATCCATACTAAAATTCAAAAAAAAAAGCCAGGCGTGTTGGCATGAGCCTGTAGTCCCAGCTATTCAGGAGGCTAAGGCAGGAGAATTGCTTAAACCTGGAAGGTGGAGGTTGCAGTGAGCCAAGATCTTGCCTCTGCAACGCATTTGGTCAAACCCAGTAATCACCCTTTCAGGATAAAAACACTCAATTAAAAAAAAAAAAAAAAAAAAAAACACTTGGCTGGTCACAGTGGCTCACACCTGTAATACCAGCACTTTGGGAGGTCAAGTCAGACAGATCACCTGAGGTCAGGAGTTCAAAACCAGCCTGGCCAACATGGTGAAAACCTGCCTCTAGGCTAAAAATACAAAAAGTAGCCGGTGTGGTGGCAGGCACCTATAATCCCAGCTACTCAGTAGGCTGAGGCAGGAGAATCGCTTGAACCTGGGAGGCAGAGGTTGTAGTGAGCCAAGATTGTGCCATTGTACTCCAGCCTGGGCAACAACAGCAAAATTCTATCTCAAAAAAATAAATAAATAAATAAATAAGCTTATATGTATTTGGAATTTGGAAAGGTAGGACTATATCCCTCTTAGATCATTGTGGATATTCTTTGACCCTATGACAAAACTGGACAAATCATAGTTTGGGTTTTTTTTTTAATTGGTAATTTTTTAAAGATTAGTTGCAAAATGTGGAATCTGAAATTATATCATGAACTTTTTGAAGTCTGTTACATTAAAATATATTGGTCTTTGTTGTTCTTTGAATGTTTGACCTAGGAGGATTTTTGTTTTTGTTTTTGTTTTTATTGCATTTTAGGTTTTGGTGTTTTGTTTTTTTGAGACGGTGTTTCAAGCTTGTTGTCCAGGCTGGAGTACAATGGTGTGATCTTGGCTCACTGCAACCTCCGCCTCCCAGGTTCATGTGAGTCTCCTGCCTTGGCCTCCCAAGTAGCTGGGATTTCAGGCAGCTGCCACCAAGCCTGGCTAATTTTTTATATTTTTATTTTTATTTTACTTTATTTATTTATTTATTTATTTGATACAGAGTTTTGCTCTTGTTGTCTAGGCTAGAATGCAATGGCACCATCTCAGCTCACTGCAACCTCCGCCTCCTGGGTTCAAGCGATTCTCCTGCCTCAGCCGCCTGAGTAGCTGGGATTCCAGGCATGCGCCACCATGCCCAGCTAATTTTTGTATCATTAGTAGAGATGGGGTTTCTCCATGTTGGTCAGACTGGTCTCCAACTCCCAACCTCAGGTGATCCACCCTCCTCAGCTTCCCAGTGTGCTGGGATTATAGCGTGAGCCACCAAGCCTGCCTGACCTAGGATGATTTTGTAACATGATGCGTTTCATTGGTCATTTGGAATATTTTGGTTCACTAACTTATGCAGATCCTCCAAATATCGACACATTTCATTATACAGTATCAAAAAATATTTGTTCATATCACCACAATCTTAAAAGTGTTAAAGTATTTAGAAACTGTCAAACTCACAATGGCGGACAGAAATTTTCCAAAATTTAAATTTTCACTTGAAAGGCCAAAATTTATTGGTGACAACAAGTATTGTCAGTTGTTTTCCTTTATTTGACATGCTTATTTTATTCATTTTTAACAAAATGTCTATCAAACTCCCAAGTATGAATAACAACCATAGTTTGTCTGTTAGCTAATCATTCAAGTAAAATATTCCATGAAGAAAAGCAGAGACGGTTCAGTTTGCAGCTTGAACAGTCGCACAAGTGAGTTTCCCTAAAATAACCATCATATTTTGGTATGCAGCAGAAGTGCTTTATGCATACTTTGTGTTTTCTCATATAACATTTAAAAGATATGTAGTCAAAGATTTGAGATTTTATAAAATGATTGCTTTTCTTCTTTTTTTTTTTTCCTACTGCTTCCTCAAGGATATTCAGTGAAACAGGATTTTTTTTTCTTATGCAGCCGTAAAGATTACTTTGACTTTCATATCCGAGTCATGGCACCAAAGGGAAAATAAAAAGATTGCTTTGACTGATAGTACAGCCTAATGCAACTGGCTAGATTTGTGCTAAGGCGCTAGCAATTTTGCCCACCATTGCTTTTGCAATCATGGTTACAAATATTAACATAGTGAGAAAGGCAAATTGTATCTTAGTAGTATTATGAAAATAGTTTTACCCTGGCAGACCCATTGAAAGGGTCTTCAGGCTAGGCACGGTGGCTCACGCCTATAGTCCTAGCACTCTGGGAGGCTGAGGTGGGCGGATCACGAGGTCAAGAGATCGAGACCATCCTGGCCAACATGATGAAGCCCCATCTCTACTAAAAATACAAAAAATTAGCTGGTCATGGTAGTGTGTGTCTGTAGTCCCATCTACTTGGGAGGCTGAGGCAGGAGGATCGCTTGAACCTGGGAGGTGGAGGTTGCAGTGAGCCGAGATTACGCCAGTGCATTCCAGCCTGGCAACAGAGTGAGACTCCATCTCAAAAAAAAGGGGGGGGGTCTTCAAAACCCTTAAGGGTCCCCAAAGCACACTTAAAAGTACAACTGCTCTAACAAATGATTAACTTTCACAGTGGGAATTTCAGATCTTAGCAGGCTAACTAAGAAGTCATTTTGGTACAGCCTGTACCAATGTTCAGACCATACCATGTAGGTGATCACTTCTTCCTCATAAGCATTGGGGCAGCACACACAATTGTTACTTATGTTTTTTTAGCTCAGTGGAAGTGTTGTTTTTGCCCTAGTAGAGTCTACTCTCTCCGGAGCTTTCCTTCATGTCTTACTTGTCTCTTGTCTGTTTACCTTCTAGAGGAGAAGAGATAGAAGATAAGGCAGTCATCATCCAGGAGCTGGAGGTAGGGAAAGAAGCATACAACTTGCGGAAAAGTTATTCTTTAAGCTAAGGATACATCCACATTCAGGTTTTAATTATTTCTTACAAACTGAGTTAAAACTTCCACTTGATAACTTGGCTTCTCCCTGCCACATCTCCTTTGCAAAGAAACTTTACTGTTTTTCCAGGGAAATGTAAAGCTTTTATTCTTTCTCAGTTTTCCTAGGTGAAGTGTCAGCACCTTTGAGGCTGAGCGCTTTTTGTTTCTACCAGAATTCCAAGCCTTGGGCAGCTCTCTTTTGTGGCAGCTGGCATAGAGAAAGCTTCTGGAGGACTGCCTCCTTCCAGGGCTCTGGGAAACCTTACCATCGCAACCACTGCCTGGTACTTGACGTTCAGGAAACTTGACTGTAAATACACAGACAAGGCTACTGTGTCTTCATTTTAATTGGAAACATTTGCAAGTGCCTTATTCTGACTTCATTTTCATTCCTTTCTACCCAATTCCTTTAGCTTTAGGCTTAGGAAAGAAGACTGAGCAGGTGGTCAGCTTTACAAATGGTGAAAGCAATGGACAAGGAATTAGTGTTGTGGGGGTTGGCCCTGGATTCCAGTCCTGGTGTAGCCACCAATTAGCTGCCTGGCCCTTGGAAAATCTTGTATCAGTTTGGATCTTAATTGCCTCATTTGGAAAATGAGAGGTTTAAACTAGCTTTTACTTTTCTGACTTCACAATTCAGTGATTTATGACTATTGTGATTTCTTAATAAGACATATTCCTCCACATTTCAAAGCAATTAAATACACTTAAACACAAAACTCTGTGAAACCAAAACTGAGTCATACCCTTAAGAAGGTACCTCTTTGGCTAAGTGTTAAAAGATACATTAGGATCTTGCAGGACCCTGAAGGATGTCATTATGAATAAGTTATTTTAATATGGGCCCAAGAAAATGTTATACCTATTTTAATTAAGAGCAGAGCAGACTTTATTTCACTTTGCTTCCATTAACCTGTGCAGTGAAAAGCTCAAGGAAGCATAGCAGAGAGGAGGGAACACAGACTTTGGAGCCAGGCAAACCTAGATTTGAATTCTCCGTAGTAGGATATGTCTAGCTTATAATTATAATAGCTAATATTTATTGAGTAATTACTATGGGCAGTGTTCTGCCATTCACAGTGTGACTTTGAGCAAATTACCTACCCTCTCTGAGTCTGTTTCCTTACCTGTCAAATGAGGTTAATAAAGAAGGCCTGTTTAAAGATTGAGCATTAGAAATAGATGTCTGCAATGCCTGCCACACAGTAGCTCAATAATTAGTAGCTTGAGCGTATTTACATTCAATACATATCATATTAAAACTTCCAAGGTACATTTGGTATGCATATGCATCTTTCTCTTATGCTCACTAGTTTGGGGGCAGATGTTACTCTCTTTTCTTCATTTAGAGAACATTTACTGAGGCCGGGTGCTGTGGCTCATGCCTGTAATCCCAGCACTTTGGAAGGCTGAGGCAGGTGGATTACCTGAGGTCAGGAGTTTAAGACCAGCCTGGCCAATGTAGTGAAACCCCGTATCTACTAAAAATACAAAAATTAGCTGGGCGTGGTGGCATGTGCTTGTAGTCCTAGCTACTCAGGAAGCTGAGGCAGGAGAATTGTTAGAACCCGGGAGGTGGAGGTTGCAGTGAGCCAAGATCACGCCACTGCACTCCAGCCTGGGAAACAGAGCGAGCGAGACTCCATCTCAAAAATAAAATAAAATAAAATGAAACAAAACATTTACTGAGAAGCAGGCTAGCCTACCGGTTAAGAGTAGGAGTCTGGAACCCCACTGCCTTGGTTCAGATCTTGGCCCAGCTCTTTCTAGCTACGTAACCTAGAATACATTTTTTCACCTCTCTTTGTTTCCTCATCTGTAAAATGGGAATAACAGAATTGCCTATCTCACAGCGTTTTTGTGAGAGTTAAATTAATCAATAAGTATGAAAACAATAACAAAGCCAGGCTCAGTGGCTCATGCCTGTAATCCCAGCACTTTGGGAGGCCGAGGCGGGTGGATCACCTGAGGTCAGGAGTTTGGAACCAGCCTGGCCAAAAAAGTGAAACCCTATCTCTACTAAAAATACAAAAATTAGCCAGGTGTGGTGGCAGGCACCTGTAATCCCAGCTACTTGGGAGACTGAGGCAAGAGAATCGCTTGGACCCAGGAGGCAGAGGTTGCAGTGAGCAGAGACCATGCCATTGCACTCCAGACTCCAGTCTTGGCAACAAGAATGAAACTCCATCTCAAAAAACAAAAACAAAGTAAAACAGTAATAATTCTCATAGTAATTACTCAATAAATATTAGCCATTATAATTATAAGCTAGACACTATGCTACTATGGAGAATACGGAGATAAACAAGATATCATTTCTTTTTTTTTTAATTAATTTATTTTACTTTAGGTGCATACCATATCTGGTATTTCTCCCCGTGTTATCCCTCCCCACCCTCCCCACCACCAATGTCTCTCCCTTACCCACCCTTAACTGTCCCCAGTGTGTGATGCTCCTTTCCCTGAGTCCACATATTCTCATTGTTCAACACCCATCTATGAGTGAGAACATGTGGTGTTTGGCTTTCTGTTCTTGTGTCAGTTTGCTGAGAATGACGGTTTCCAGATCCATCCAAGTCCCTACAAAGGACACAAACTCATCATTTTTTATGGCTGCGTAGTATTCTATGGTGTATATGTACCACATTTTCTTTGTCCAGTCTATCATTGATGGGCATTTGGGTTGGTTCCAGGTCTTTGCTATTGTACACAGGGCTGCAATGAACATACGTGTACATGTGTCTTTATAGTAGAATGATTTATACAAAAATTAGACAGGTGTGGTGGCACATGCCTGTAGTCCCAGCTACTGGGGAAGCTGAGGTGGGAGGATCACTTGAGCCCAGGAGGTGGAGGTTGCAGTGAGCAGAGATCACGCAACTGCACTTCATCCTGGGCCACAAAGCAAGACTCTCAAAAAAAAAAAAAAGAAATGGCGAATCAGAACACATGTTAAAGGAGCAACAGATAGTTCAGTTTTGATAGTATGTAGGGTATGTGACTAGCAGTGACAAATATAAACAAAGATTGGCTGAGATTCAACAGTGTTAAAGTCATTTCAAATATGTTTTTCAGGATTCTGTCCGTGTGGTCTTGGGAAACTTGGACAATCTTCAGCCCTTTGCTACAGAACACTTCATTGTATTTCCCTGTATCCTTTTTTTTTTTTTTTTTTTTGAGATGGAGTGGGATGGAGTCTTGCTCTGTTGCCCAGGCTGGAGTACAATGGTGCGATCTCGGCTCACTGCAACCTCCTCAGCCTCCTGAGTAGCTGGGATTACAGGAGCATACCACCACGCCCTGCTAATTTTTGTATTTTTAGTAGAGGCGGGGTTTCACAATGTTGGCCAGGCTGGTCTCAAACTCCTGACCTTAGGTGATCCACTCAGCTCTGCCTCCCAAAGTGCTGGTAGGATTACAGGCATGGGCCACCATGCCTGGCCTATCCTTTCTTTTCTGGGTAGAACATTGTAGACTCAAATGGAAGTAGCAAAATCATAGGCAGTTTGGAGGGTAGGTCAGGGGAAGGAGAGAGAGTCTCGTCCCTAAAATAGTACTTAGGGATGCATACTGCCATCTTTCCTCGCTCCTTAGCAGCATTTCCCAGATAAAAGCAAATGGGAGAGAGTTTCCCACCTGAAATTCAAACATGGGGAAATTATCTTGATCCCCTACCCATTTGTTTTTACTCTATACGTGGAGATGAAATGGTTCCATGAAAACCTGTCACCTGGTAAGTGGAATGACGTGGATAGCAGAGAAGAAAGTGGTTTAGCAGTGCCAGCTGGATATGGTGAAATGGGCCACTGGATTGGGCTCCAGCCACACAGTACACAGGTCAGGATCATGTGCTGCAGGCCAGATTAACCAGTTCAAATACTGATGGCCTTGCCACTTAATAGCTATGTGAAATTAGATAAGTTACTTAATCTTTCTGTGCCTCCCTTGTGAAATGGTGAAGAATAATACTAGTACCTATATCATTGAGTTGTGATTAGGATTAAATATATAAATACTAGTAGATGAAAAGCACAAAAAGTCTGACTTAATCAATGAAAGATAACTATTATATAAATGCTTCCATTAAAGAGAATTCCATGATTTTCACTTTAGAGGTGTCTTAGAGGTATCTCCCAATTTTATTTTTATTTAGACAGGGTCTCACTCTGTCACCAGGCTGGAGTACAGTGGTGTGATCATAGATCACTGTAACCTCTAACTCCTGGGCTCAAGTGATCCTTCTGCCTCAGCTTCCCAAGTAGCTGGGACTATAGGTGTGTATGACCATGCCCGGCTAATTTTTTTTTTTTTTTTAAAGTAGAGACAGGGGTCTTACTTTATTGCCCAGGCTGGTCTCAAACTCCTGGGCTCAAGTGATCCTCCCACTTCAGCATCCCAAAACACTGGGATTACAGACATGGGCCACTGTGCCCACTCCCAATTTTTATTCTCTGAGTGCCATGGCTATTCTTGCTGATTGAGGGACAAGTAAATGTTACCCTTTTGATTTGAAAAGGGATGCAGGCTGGGTACGGTGGCTCATGCCTATAATCCCAGCACTTTGGGAGGCCAAGGCAGGAGGATCACTTGAAGCCAGGAGTTTGAGACCAGCCTGGCCAATATGGCAAAACCCCATCTCTGCTAAAAATATAAAATGTAGCCTGGCATGGTGGCACATGCCTGTAATGGCAGCTACTCAGGAGGCTGAGGCAGGAGAATCCCTTGAACCTGGAAAGTAGAGGTTATGGTGAGCCAAGATTGTACCACTGCACTTCCACCTGCGCAACAGAGCTAGCTCCATCTCAAAAAACAGAAAAGTGGTGCAAAGGCCTTGCCTCAAAATATCCTTCTTTTTCATTTGTTACAGATAGCCGAAGTTCTGCTTTTTTTCTTTTGTAGTAAGGATCGTCCCCTTTTTAAACCCTTTCTAGCTTGTAGATTATAATCATTCTGAAACAGGAGGAAGAGAGTTTGAAGACACTATTTTTAGGGGAAATGGTACCAGGTAGAAGGGAGAAGGGCACATGAGAAGGCTTTGTCTAGGGTCAGTTCCAAAAAATAAATAGTAGCCAGAAATCCAGGTAAAACAGAGTCTTGGCAGGGTGTAGTGGCTCATGCCTATAATTCAGCCTGGGTGACAGAGAGAGACCTCGTCTCCAAATTTTTTTTTAAAAGTCTAATCTATTAAGACACTCACATTTCCTATTGTAGGGAAACCACTAAATGACAGTCCTCTTGGGTTGGTAAGTTTGCCTTTTCTGTACAAAATGAAAATTGCCTTCATCACCTTCTGTTGTCCAAAAAATCCTCCTCTTGTCTCTTCCTCTTACTTTGCCTCTCAGTTGCTGCCCAGGTCCAATCAGAACTGTAAATATAAGACTGTATTTTCCCCCTTGGCTAGATTTCTGATACCGTGTCTATAACAGAATGTCTATTCTTACTCGCAAAGCTGGTGTTAAAAGTTGCCTTTGGCAGTTTAAGGATGGGGAGCTCTCTTCACTATGCCTTCATGAACTGTGAACAGCTCTGGAAAAGGAGTAGTCACAGGCATCTGCTTCCTCTCTGAAGTTCCCAGCTGAGAAGAAAGCAGTAGGAGCTGTGATGAAACGAAAACACGTGGATGAGCCCAGCTCCCCCAGCAGGCCAGGGCTGGACAGGTCAGTGGTGTGGGGAGAGAGGCTCATGCCTGCATCCTGGTTAGGCTTTACCAGCTGTCACTATTGGTTGATCCTGTCCTTCAGTGAGTCACTTTATTTTTTAGGACTTCATCAGTATCTGCCTATTCCAGTTGATGGACTGAGGAAAAGGAACAAGTTAATATTTATAATATGATTTGAACACAGTCCCTTTGTCAGCAAAGTATGATTTTTCTGTTCATCAAGATGAAGGCTGAGAGGAAATACAATCCGATTTAACTGAATTCAGGACATTCCATAATACTTACTATGCTAATATCATCAGAAGGCACAAGACTTATGAAGTCTCAGAATATTATACAAAAACATAGGGAAACTCGAAAGAGTAAGAACAAATTCTATTTTATCCAGTGAGCGGTTAGCTTTTGGAACCTTAAGAGGCAGTCCAGACTAAAATGTAAATGTTTGCAAGGCGGTCTGTATCTATCGGGGTGGGGTGCTGTGATCTTAGGGGGAATGTTGTTGTTGTGGAGGCTACTTATATTCTTTCAATTCTCTATTGGGGACAAAATGAGTCAGTAAGACAGTTCAGTCATTCTTATTAGCATGCTAGAAAGCTAATAAGAATGCTGCTGGAATAATCCAAGGTGTGGTTTGTTCCCTAGCCCAAGATACTTCCACCCTAGGCCCACAGAGAATAGCTACCCTTTTCCCGAAACTCTGTAGACCCCTAGACATATAGGAAAAGTAAGAGAGACCACTAGGAAGCTGACCTCATGTCCTCCAGATGTACATGGAGGTAAAGAAGTAGGGAGCTCCCTTCCAAGCCAGGTGGAATGTGAGGGTACTTGAAGGTATGAAGCTTTGCTCTGTTCCATTCGACTGAATTTTCTATGGAAATGAGGTCTCAGATTTTCCCTTTCTCTGGGTTTTGATGCGCAATCAAATATTTCAAAATCTGATACCTGCTGTCAGTCACATTTTCACTTTCTCAAACCCCAGATCCCTAAAGGTCTCAAACTGGGATTCCGCTGTGAATTAAAGCAGCACCCAAAGAAAATTTGGCCACCCAATTTATTCTGCCAGCCAGGAGTGGTATAAAAATAGCCAACCTGCTGAAATATTCATTTGGGTCACATTTGCTTGAACGTAGTGATTTTGCCTCTGCCAGTAACATTTCCTGCATATTTCCCCCCGACCTCAGGGTCAACATAGGGCCTTCCAGTCAAGGCCCCAGCGAAAAGAAGCCCCCTGTGGAAACCAGAAGAGTAAGTACCAAAATGGAGACTTAGAGGCTGTTAGCTGTTCCTGTTCTGTTACAAGTCAGGATTCCAGTTACCAGCACATCTTGGTTTTTAGTGCAGATTGAATTAACTGAACTCATTCTCGGGTTTCACTGTCTGCAGAATAACATTCAACTATTATGCCCTTGCCACAACCCATCCCCAAGTGGCTGCATAATACACGCATCGATGAATCTTTTTGTTAAAAAGTCCTCTCTTTGCCGGGCATGGTGGCTCACGCCTATAATCCCAGCGCTTTGGAAGGCTTAAGTGGAGCAGATCACCTAAAGTTAGGAGTTTGAGACCAGGCTGGCCACACTGGTGAGACCCTGTCTGTACTAAAAATACAAAAAACTAGCTGGGCATGGTGGTGCACACCTGTAATCCCAGCTACTTGGGAGGCTGAGACGGGAGAATCGCTTGAACCCGGGAGGCGGAGGTTGCAGCGAGCCAAGATCGTGCCACAGCACTCCAGCCTGGACAACAGAGTGAGACTCTATTTCAAAAAAAAAAAAAAGAAAGTCCCCTCTTCTCAGCTTAAAAAGCTGCTTGTACTCAGCAGTTGAAATAAGAAAATATGTCTGTATAGAACTGAGGTGTGATCCAGTATAGAATTTTCCCTTTAGAAAACTTTTTGCCTTCATCTACACTGAAGTCTGAGTCTAGGAACATCTAGTTTTAACAAATGAGCTAGGCATGTATCAGCACTGATAAGTGGTAAGAGAAAACTTCTAGAGCAGTGAAGGGTTGGCCCCTGATGGGATTAGATTTCATTTATGGGGTCTGTTTCCCATTTAGATATTCATATATCTGCTACCCCTCCTCCATTTCAGGACTTCTTTTCTATGTAGTCTCTAAAATAGTGACTTCTTTTTTGCCTCCCCACTTTAAATAGCTATTAGCTGGTATCCATGCCTGAAAGAGCCTTCCTTTTTTGTCTACGTCTCTAAAGTAGCTCTGACCCTAAGTATCCAAACACAATTCACTTGATCTGTTATGGAACAAACAGATAAATAAAAGTTTGTTCGAAAACAGAGCATCTGAATTGTGTTTGGATACTTAGTGAGACGGAGTTTCGCTCTTGTTACCCAGGCTGGAGTGCAATGGCACGATCTCGGCTCACCGCAACCTCCGCCTCCTGGGTTCAGGCAATTCTCCTGCCTCAGCCTCCTGAGTAGCTGGGACTACAGGCACGCGCCACCATGCCCAGCTAATTTTTTGTAGTTTTTAGTAGAGACGGGGTTTCACCATGTTGACCAGGATGGTCTCGATCTCTTGACCTCGTGATCCACCCGCCTCGGCCTCCCAAAGTGCTGGGATTACAGGCTTGAGCCACCGCGCCCGGCCCCAGATTTTCTTTTCTTTTCCTTCCTTCCTTCCTTCTTTCTCTCCTTCCTTCCTTCCCTTTCTTTCTTTTTCTTTCTCTTTCTTTTTCTTTCTCCTCCCTCCCTCCCTCTTTCTTTTCCTTTCTTTCTCCTTCTTTGTTTATTTCTTCTTTCTCCCTTTCCTTCTCTCTCTTTCTTTCCTTCCTTCCTTCTTTTCTTTTTCTGTCTCGCTCTGTCTCCAGGCTGGAGTGCAGTGGCATGACCTCAGCTCATCACAGCCTCAACCTCTGCCTCCCAGGTTCAAGCAATTCTCCTGCTTCAGCCTCCTGAGTAGCTGGGACTACAGGTGTGTGCCACCAGGCCCAGATAATTTTTTGTATTTTTAATAGAGACAGGGTTTCACCGTCTTAGCCAGGATGCTCTCTATCTCCTGACCTTGTGATCCACCTGCCTTGGCCTCCCAAAATACTGGGGTTATAAGCATGAACCACTGTGCCTGGCCTTTTTTTTTTTTTTTTTTTGAGATCGAGTCATGCTCTGTTGCCCAGGCTGGAGTGCAGTGATGCCATCTCGGCTCACTGCAACCTCCACCTCTCAGACTCAAGTGATCCTCTCATTTCAGCCTCTGGAGAAGTTGGGACTAGTGGTGTGTGTCACCACACCCAGCTAATTTTTGTATTTTTTGTAGAGATGGGATTTTGCCATGTTGCCCAGGATGCAGTCAACAAATTTTCATTGAGTGTCTAAATGTGCCAAGTATCAGGGATACTTGGCAACAGCCCTAAAAACACCAACAGTGTATGGCTAGGCAGACGATTACTGACAGATGTGCCGTGTGCAGGGTCAGAAGGAAGCACCGAATACAAAGAGAACATAAAGTGGCCAGGAGGGAAGGATTCCCAGAGTAGCTTATAGTACAGTGCTAAGAAATGTTACTGAAGAATCAGAATGGACTGGATCTTGAAAAGCCTTGAGACTACCTTCAAGATCACAGGAATTCTCTAAAATATTTTTAAGTAGAAAAATGAAGTTATTTTCATTTTTAAAGGATTGTTCTGTCTCCTGCTTAGAAGGCATTGTGTTAGGTGCTCAGACACACACAAACATATGTGAACCCTGATTTCTTTTTCTAGGAGCTTGTAATTTAGTTGGGAAAGGACTGTATCCTTGGGGATTTACACCTCTGCCTCTGTGACAGGGGCAGAGTCCGGGGCCCCGGTTGTGCTGTGGCCAGCTGGCCCGCTGAGTGATTTTGGGCGGATAGTCAACCCCTTCTATGCTTCCCATTCTTTAGGGTGGTAAGAAAAAAGAAATGAGAAAGTACATGAGGAGTACATGAAGCTCTGGAGAACAAAGACACTTTATACAACCAAGATAATTACTATTAAAGGAACATTTTCCTCGCTCTCTACCCTTCGTACCTTCCTATTCTTAGTTTGACACATCATCTCTCTCAAGAACGGTACCCACAGCTTCTTACTCAACATAATTACCTTTTCAACCTGATTCTGGCTTTAGAAAAAAACTCTAGTAAAAGGAACATGTTTATTGATTTTGACTCAAAGCCCAAAGACATTCACCATCGTGGACCCTGTTCCCAGGAAGATGATTTCTCCTAGATTAAAGTGATCACAGTGACTCTCAGTGTAAGTCACTTGAGCTGGAAAAATTGAATTTGCTCCTATGGTCCATTGCTTAATATGTTCTGCCCCCTTTACATGGAGTTAAGCGTGCAGGATCACAGTCACTGTGCATGTGCGTGTCTGAACACATTGGGGGCCTGTGTAGGGAAAACTTAGAAGAATACAACAAGTGTCTTTGTTTTATAAGAAGTGTTTTGTGGAGAATGGGAAGGAAGAGGAGAACCCCCTTGCCTTTGTTACTTCAGGTCCCAGATAGAAAGATCCAGACCTTGGAAGGATAAAAATTGGGAGGGAGTAGATGAATGGCCCAGAAGTGAAACAGACTAACTTCACATAGCATTTTGTTGTTATTGTTGTTTTCCTGTATCTGCTTGAACTGCACTTCTAAACAGATCTGGCCCTGAACATACAGAGGACAGTCTTACATCAGGTTTTCAGAGTATTATGTTCGATGGAGGTCCCAGATGTACCTTCAGTCTGAGTTCCAGCTATAATGCTTTTCCTCTCTTACAACTCTTTCTTGAGAAGACATCTCTCAAGATTTTGGGAGAGTACAAAAAAGCTACACTGTCTTGTGAGGGGACTCTTCCCTGGTTCAGAGGTAGGCTGTATGTCTGTCCCAGGGCCTTTGCCCTCTTGTTCCTCCTACCAACTTTAATAGATGCTTTCACTAAGGCCACTGTATGCAGCAGGATTAAAGCCCCAAACGATAGTTTCGTTAAATTTGTAAGAATCCCTCAAGGCAGAAACCAGAGCTTGGCCTTCTAAATTCCATCTCCACTCTCTCTAGAAAAGGTAAAAATGGTCTCCTCCTCACCAGAGTTCCCTGTTGCTTTTATAGGAATGTGACTTAGGTGGCTGTCCATGTGGTCTGGGATTTGAGCAGTTTGTGAATAGGCTCAGTTCAGAGATATCTGCCATTCTAACCTGAAGCTTATTCTTAGGATGGGGGCAAGTCCTAGCTTTTCTTTTTTCTTTCTCTTTTCCTTTTTTTTTTTTTCTCTGAGACGGAGTTTCACTCTTGTTGCCCAGGCTGGAGTGCAATGGCGTGATGTTAGCTCACCGCAACCTCCGCCTCCCAGGTTCAAGCGATTCTCCTGCCTCAGCCTCCTGAGTAGCTGGGATTACAGGCATGTGCCACCATGCCTGGCTTATTTTGTATTTTTAGTAGAGATGGGGTTTCTCCATGTTGGTCAGGTTGGTCTTGAACTCCTGACCTCATGATCTGCCCGCCTTGGCCTCCCAAAGTGCTGGGATTACAGATGTGAGCCACCACGCCCGGCCTAGTCCTAGCTTGTCTAGAGACTTGCCATGCCTCTGCCTCCCAGAGCCTACCTTTACAGTCTGCAGCCCTTTGCGCTAGAACTCTTCACCATGGGAGCTAAGCTATGAGGATGCAAGGCTTAAGAATGATACAACGGACTGGGCCGGGCATGGTGGCTCACACCTGTAATCCCAGCACTTTGGCCAAGGTGGGCGGATCATGAGGTCAGGAATTCGAGACCAGCCTGACCAACATGGTGAAACCCCATCTCTACTAAAAATACAAAAATTTTCCAGGTGTGGTGGTACATGCCTGTAATCCCAGCTACTCAGGAAGCTGAGGCAGGAGACTTGCTTGAACCTGGGAGGCAGAGGTTGGGGTGAGCCAAGATCTCGCCATTGCACTCTAGCCCGGGCAACAAGAGCGAAACTCCATCTCAAAAAAAAAAGAATGATACAGTGGACTTTGGAGACTGGCAGGAAAGGGTGGGAAGGGGGTGAGGCATAAAAGATTACACATTTGGTATCGTATACACTGCTTGGGTGATGAGCGCACCAAAATCTCAGAAATCACCACTAAGAAAACTTATTCATGTAACCAAACACCTGCTCCCTAAAAACCTATTGAAATAAAATTTTTTTAATGGGAAAAAAATTCAGTAAACTGCATATCCAAAAGTAAAAAAAAAGAACTCTTCACCAGCAAAACAGCTCAAGGAGCTCCATCACTGCTGGGCGGGTAAAGCCCGTAGGTTCTGATTGGGTAAAGGGAAGAGTATCCAGTGGCAGAGATTCCCAAAAAAAATAGAACCATATTTCTGACTATCAAGGTGTTTACTGGAAAAATGTGAGCCTGGAGTCAGGTTATAAAATGTCCTCTTCAGAGTACAAAGAAATTTCAATAAAGCAGCAGCACATGGAGAAATAATAAGATTGTGTTGTATTGTGCTGGCTGCTAATGCCACAGTCATGTTTTCACCATGCCTGGCTCTAGCCATGCTGATCCTATTTATTTAATGGCACTGCGCCCTCATACATCATGTCCCTGTATGGAATGCCTTGCTGTGACTGACCATCTCCTCACCCCTGTTATGACAAAAATCCCACTCATCCATCAAGGCTCCATTCAAATATCACTTCTCCTGTGAAGCCTTCCTTGACTAATGACACCTGCTCCATTAACATCCTCCTCAGCAACGAAAGCACTGTCTATGGATTCGTTGGGTGGTCTTATCACACTTTTTTTTTTTTTAAGACAGAGTCGGCTGGGCGCAGTGGCTTACGCTTGTAATCCCAGCACTTTGGGAGGCTGAGGCAGACGGATCATGAGGTCAAGAGATTGAGACCATCCTGGCCAACATGGTGAAACCCCATCTCTTCTAAAAATGCAAAAATTAGCCAGGCATGATGGCACGTGCCTGTAGTCCCAGCTACTCAGGAGGCTGAGGCAGAAAAATCACCTGAACCTGGGAGCCGAAGATTGCTGTGAGCCAAGATTGCGCCACTGTGCTCCAGCCTGGCGACAGAGCAAGACTCTGTCAAAAAAAAAAAAAAGTGTGAAAAACAACCAAAAAAAAAAAAAACTGGAGTCTCCCTCTGTCACCCAGGCTGGAGTGCAATGGCACAACCTTGGCTCACTGCAACCTCCGCCTCCCGGGTTCAAGTGATTCTCCTGCCTTAGCCTCCCAACTAGCTGAGATTACAGGTGCCCACCACCACACCTGACTGATTTTTTGGTATTTTCAGTAGAGACAGAGTTTCACCATGTTGGCCAGGATGGTCTCGAACTGCTGACCTCAGGTGATCCACCCACCTTGGCCTCTCAAAGTGCTGAGATTACAGGTGTGAGCCATCATGCCTGGCCATCATGCTGTCTTAAAATTGACTAAGTTTATGTCTATTTTGCCCCATAGATTATACATTTTTCCAAGATAAATTTAAGGTCCTCCTGATTTCTGAAACTTCAGTATTCTGTCCTTGATCATAGTAGGCACTCAGTAATATGGGATGATAAGTTAAACCCAGCTTGATTTATTCTTGGCTCTTAAATCTTATTGTTTTAGTGGGACAGTGGTTAGGATGTTGAAATGAAAAAAGGACAGTCCTATGGAAAGAAATGTAGAACCTGTGTAGGCAGTCAGAAGCCAGGCCCCAGTGCTGATGTGAAATCAGTTCTCCAGCAGATAGCACTTAGATTGCCATGCAGTATAGGAGTAAAGTTTAAGACTTTTCTTGGTCTTCTTTCTACCAGAACAGGGAAAGAAAAACCCACCAAGGATTGCAGGAGACTCTGGCCTCTGATATCTCTGATGTCCAGAAACAAAGTAGGTTCTGGGAAATTTCCATTTATTCTCCTTTAATAATCACCCTTTCCCTCATAGTTCTCTGAAGAGTAGAGCAGCACAGAGCTGAGTTTGGGCACACTCAGTAGGTAATGTGCTTTGCTCCCGTGAAGGTGCCTGTTAGCCATCCTCTGGTCTGGGGGCCTGTCCTAGAGTAATAGAAGCCCCCCAGCTCCCGAAAGGAGTGAAGGGAGGCAATGCATGCCTTTCCTCTGCTTCTGTTAGTGAAGTTGTGCTCATCATTTCAAAACATTTCCAAGCGAGATGATAAACTTTATAGAAAAGTTGGGAAAGGGCTTGGCGTGGTAGCTCACACGTGTAATTCCAGCACTTTGGGAGGCTGAGGCAGGTGGATCACTTGAGTCCAGGAGCTTGAGACCAGCCTGGCCAACATGCCAAAACCCCATCTCTACTAAAAATACAAAAAAAAAAAAATAGCTGGACATGGTGGTGTACGCCTGTAATCCCAGCTACTCAGGAGGCTGAGGCAAAAGAATTGCTTGAAACCGGGGGGCGGTGGGGGCAGCCGGGGGGAGGTTGCAGTGAGCCAAGATAACTCCAGCCTGGGCAACAGAGCAAGACTTTGTCTCAAAAAAGAAAAGTTAGGAGGGTTGTGTTTTCCTTTTCTGCTGTTAGAGAATGATCTCTTCCCTTTGGAGCATTAGTGTTAATATCGAAGTTGCAGAGGCTGGGAACAGTGGCTCATGCCTGTAGTCCCAGCACTTTGGGAGGCTGAGGGGGCAGATCACAAGGTCAGGATATCAAGACCATCCTGGCTAACTTAGTGAAAACCTGTATCTACAAAAAAAAATACTGAAGTTACAGATGGATGCTTTGCAAGGGTTGGGAATGCATATCAAGCTTTTGCCCTCTCTACTTGATAATCTTTTACCCAGCATGAGGATTCAATGTGGATTGCCGTTATCACAGAAACAGGGATGTAAGCAAGTGAGTCCTTCAACAACTTGTCATTCTCTGTGAAGACATACCAGCCAGAGTGCATGGCTGGAACTTGAGCTGGGTAAATATCCCCAGAGCCTGACTAAAAACACTCTAAGGTCAGAATAGCATATTACTGAACTGAGATGAAATTGGGAAGGTCAGAACAAACAATTTACCTAGCTTTAAAGAACTCTTGGTGTGAGGTTGCCTCTGGCTCATACTGGGTATTCTGCCTTCTACTCACATGAAAACAACCTATGGACGAATATCTTGTTCCTGCCTGATTGTTTTCCTTACAGATTCTGAGTGGGGACACAGCCTGCCAGGGCCAACTGTCCCACTGCTGCAGCACAACTCATCACCTAAGGAGCAAGGAGGCAGTGGCTTCATTGAGTTTGTAAGGTAAGACAGCTTCTATCCAGCCATCAGACTCTGGAGATCCAGCTCAGAGCAGCTCACTGAGTCTTTCAGGGAAATTAGAATAGAAAAGAAAGCAGATTACTTACACAGGCTTCTCAATTATGTCTAGGATAGATGATGGAGATGAGATTGAGAACAAAAGCCCTAATTGTGCATTTTTAAAAATTTATTATTATTATTATTTGCCTTTTAGGTTTTGGGGTACATGTGAAGAACATGTAAGATTGTTGCATAGGTACACACATGGCAGTGTGGTTTGCTGCCTTCTTCCCCATCACCTATATCTGGTGTTTCTCCCCATGTTTTCCTCCCCAACTTCCCACCCCGAGCTGTCCTTCCCCACAGACTCTAGTGTATGATGCTCCCCTCCATGTGTTCTCATTATTCAACACCCACCTATGAGTGAAAACATGTGGTGTTTGATTTTCTGTTCTTGTGTCAGTTTGCTGAGAATGATGGTTTCCAGGTTCATCCATGTCCCTACAAAGGACACGAACTCACCATTTTTTATGGCTGCATAGTATTCCATGGTGTATATGTGCTACATTTTCACTGTCCAGTCTATCATCGATGGGCATTTAGGTTGGTTCCAAGTCTTTGCTATTGTAAACAGTGCTGCAGTGAACATTCTTGTGCATGTGTCCTTATAATAAAACGATTTATAATCCTTTCGATATATACCCAGTAATGGGATTGCTGGGTCAAATGGAATTTCTATTTCTAGGTCCTTCAGGAATCACCACACTGCCTTCCACAATGGTTGAACTAATTTACACTCCCACCAACAGTGTAAAAGTGTTCCTATTTCTCCACATCCTCTCCAGCATCTGTTGTCTCCAGATTTTTTAATGATCGCCATTCTAACTAGCATGAGATGGTATCTCAATGTAGTTTTGATTTGCATTTCTCTAATGACCAGTGATAATGAGTATTTTTTCATATGTTTGTTGGCCTCATATGTCTTCTTTTGTAAAGTGTCTGTTCATATCCTTTGCTCACTTTTGAATGGGCTTGTTTGTTTATTCTTATAAATCTGTTTTAGTTCCTTGTAGATTGTGGATATTAGCCCTTTGTCACATGAGTCGATTGCAAAAATTTTTTCCTGATCTGTTGGTTGCCGATTCACTCTAATGACTGTTTCTTTTGCTGTGCAGAAGCTGTGGAGTTTGATTAGGTACCATTTGTCTATTTTGGCTTTTGTTGCCAATGCTTTTGGTGTTTTAGTCATCCTTGCCTATGCCTATGTCCTGAATGGTTTTGCCTAGGTTTTCTTCTAGGGTTTGTATGGTGTTACATCTTCTGTTTAAGTCTTTAATCCATCTGGAGTTAATTTTAGTGTAAGGTGTCAGGAAGGGGTCCAGTTTCTGCTTTCTGCACGTGGCTAGCCAGTTTTCCCAATGCCATTTATTAAACAGGGAATCCTTTCCCTATTGCTTGTTTTTGTCAGGTTTGTCAAAGATCAGATGGTTGTAGATGTGTGGCGTTGCCTCCAAGGTTCTGTTCCATTGGTCTATATCTCTGTTTTGGTACCAGTACCATTGCTGTTTTGATTACTGTAGCCTTGTAGTATAGTTTGAAGTCAGATAGTGTGATGCCTCCAGCTTTGTTCTTTTTGGTTAGAACTGACTTGGCTATGCAGGCTCTCTTTTGGTTCCATATGAAGTTTAAGGTGGTTTTTTCCAGTTCTGTGAAGAAGGTCATTGGTAGCTTGATGGGGATAGCGTTGAATCTGTAAATTACTTTGGGCAGTATGGCCATTTTCACGATACTGATTCTTCCTAACCATGAGCATGGAATGTTTCTCCATCTGTTTGTGTCCTCTCTTATTTTGTTGAGCAGTGGTTTGTAGTTTTCCTTAAAGAGGTCCTTTACATTTTTTGTTAGTTGTATTCCTAGGCATTTCATTCTCTTTGTAGCAATTGTGAATGGCAGTTCGTTCTTGATTTGGCTCTCTTTAAGTCTGCTATTGGTGTATAGGAATGCTTGTGATTTTCGCGCATTGATTTTGTATCCTGAGACTTTCCTGAAGTTGCTTATCAGTTTCAGGAGATTTTGGGCTGAGACTAATTGTGCATTTAGTAAAGACTGTGTCTTACTCATTTTTACACAACTCACCTCTACCCTGATGTGTCCAGCATAAAACCTAGCTCCATAAACATTAACTTGGACCGGGGGCGATGGCTCATGCCTGTAATCCCAGCACTGTGGGAGGCTGAGGCAGGTGCATCACCTGAGATCAGAAGTTCAAGACCAGCCTGGCCAACATGGTGAAACCCCATTTGAACTAAAAATACAAAAATTAGCCAGGCGTGGGGGCATGTGCCTGTAATCCCAGCTACTAGGGGGTGCTGAGGCAGGAGAATTGCTTGAACCCAAGAGGCAGAGGTTGTAGCGAGCCAAGATTGTGCCACTACACTCCAGCCTGGGCGACAAAGTGAGACTCGTCTCAAAACAAACAAACAAACAAAAAACATTAACTTGTACAAAATCTATTCTTATTTTATTGAGCCATTTAGAAGATTTGGTTACCAAAACATTTCCATTCTCCCCTCTGAATCTAGGTTGTGTTTGCAGAGGATAGTTACAAATGTCTCCCTCTCTTTCTCTCTCTCAGCCATCCCATTACAATTCTCTTTCTTTATTTCCCCCTCCTGAGTGTAATCTAATTGGAGTACCTTTTCAAATGCCATTCCAGTCTTGAATTTCCATTCAATGGTTCCCCAGAGCAAAAATGCCCTAGCTAGTGGAGCACTAATGGGAAATGGGGAGAAGGGAAGGAGACCTCATAGAGTCTCAGCCTACTCTGCTCTTATTCCTGCAGCTCTCTCTTCCCGATTCGATATTTCTTCAGGAAGAGCAGCCACTCTTGAGCCTTCCAAATGCAGCGCTGGAAAGAGGATCATCTCTTGCAATGACTCTTCCTGAGCCATTCTTCCTCCAACTCTATCCTTTTCTTATGACACTTCAGTCGTAGGGAATGAGGTCCCCATATTGAGTCCTCTGTGGGTTTATCCTGTCCTTTGCCCCTTTATAATATATTTTGTTTCCCAATTTAAAACATTAAGAAAAGAATGGAACTTTCTAAAATGTTCATGTCCTGAGGGCCAGTTTAGGCCTTTTGTCTTCAGCACTTAGAATCCTAATGACAATAAATTATTTATGAAGAGTTATTGATTGAATTTAGTGGAACAGAATAAGAGAGAACAAATTCTTCCCTCAAGATACAGAGAAAATGTGTGAAACGTCCCTAGGTCTACCTGGTTACTGTTCACAGGATCACTTTGGGTATGTCAGTCTGTGCCAGGATTTAGGGAATAGGGTCTTTCAAGACTCACTGTCCTGAGCCTTGCTCACCCAAGAGACCTCTTCCTCAGTTCCAGTTTGGCCCCAAATGATAGCCTCTCCATAGACAAAATGTTTCCCACTTCTCTATCCCTCTAGCTGTTTGACAGTAATGCAGATTCGTTTATCAGATTAACTGGAAGTCAGTCCAGGCTGGCACCCCTAGAGAAGGCCTGGGCACCTGAGCTGCCTTTAACTAAAGGGCTGATCTGGAACAGACACTAGAGCCTTGTGTGGCCATGGAGAACCAAAATGATCTATGGAAATGTAGGGAAACTTGTTTGAGCTCACAACAAAGAAGTCACTTTTTACCAGTTAGAGATGTCTAATATTACAATGGGCTACCTTGTAAGGTAATGAGACTTGTCACCCAAATGCTTTAAACAGAGGTGATCATCTGTCACACTCACAGGGTGCCCCTCATGAGTGAGAGAGTAGGGGCTGGACTGTTACAGAGGACCCGTCAAACCAGGATCCAGGACTTGAGGGGATGGGGGCTGATTGGGAAACCGTAGAGTGTGGGGATTTAAGGATTAGTGACATTGGTAACACTAATTCCTCTCAAATTATGTTTATAGCCTTTACTATTCCCAAAGATGGCCTGCTTTACAAAGCTGCTAAGAAGCACGGCTCCAAATCTGGAGCTGTGAGTGCCCACCAACTCTGACTAGCTTACGGTGAAGCTTTGGGAAGTTGTTTTCCTCTGAGCTTTTATTTTCTCATCCAGAAAATGAGGGGGTAAGAATTGGTGAGTTATAAAATGCCTTCTACTTCTACCTCTGGCAGTCTGTGTGACTGGTCCTGTTCTTTCTGAGCTGGACAGTGAGGCAGTGACCTTGAAGGGGGCTGCCCAGAATCACCCACCACAGGCTTCCTTTGGCTCTCTACCCTGCCCCAACCCCTCTAGCCACTGCTGCCTAGGGGTCTTTTTCCAACTTGCCACATTCTTGCTCCAAGTTTAGCACCATGGATGGACAACAGATTTGGGTTTGAAATCAGCCCTGACATTAACTAGCTGGGTGACTTCTAGTGACTTTCCTTCTTTGAGCCTTAGTTGCCTCATCTATAAAACCAGAGCTGGACAAATCAATCAGCTTTGCTGGGATCGATGACTTCAGGCCCTTTCAGGAGTCAGGTCCCTGTTATTCCAGGGCTAGAGGGGCACTCCAGCTCAGAACATAACTCCGTAGCACAGGATGCGAATCATCCACCTGACACCGTGGCCATGCAGCTCTGAAACAGACAGCAACCCGCAACCCCCTGGCTCTACCACCAAGCACATCTCAGGAGACATCCACTGGTATAATTTCCCTTGTCCCTAAGAAGGGGTTAGGGTCCCAAAGAAGGAGTTCCCCAGTCTCTTTCCTTTGCAGTTAGAAAAAGGCCAGCAAGGCTGAATTTAGTGGTTTTAAAGTTAGGAGTGTGGCCAGGCACAGTGTCTCATGCCTGTAATCCCAGCACTTGGAGGCCTAGGCAGGCAGATCCCTTGAGCTTAGCAGTTCAAGACCATCCTAGGCAACATGGCAAAATCCCATCTCTACAAAAAAATACAAAGGTTAGCTGGTCATAGTGGTGCGCCTATGGTCCCAGCTACTCAGGAGGCTAAGGTGGGAGGATGGCTTGAGCCTGGGAGTCTGAGAGGCAGAGGTTGCAGTGAGCTGTGATAACGCCACACACTCCAGCCTGGGCGACAGAGCCAGACTCTCTCAAAATAATAGTAATAAATGACAATAAAGTTAGGGGTGATCAGGCCCTGAACAGGGAAGTGTTCTGTGCAAGGTCACACAGCAAAGAAGATAACCCAGGTGCCCACATCTCAGCCGAGAGTCTTGACCCCTCTGTCATCAGTTGCACACATGCTGCACACTCCATCAGCTCCTGGGTTTCTCTACACATCTGACTTCTCCAGGCCCGGACTGTGGGTGGCTTTTTGGACAGAAGGAAGCAGAAAACAGCAGGAGCTACTCTCCAAGGACCACACCTCAAACAGCAAGATGCCCCAGGTGGGATCGAAATGAGGCTTCAGGCAGGGGAGGCTGGCCTGAAAGCCGATCTCCAAGAGGGCGTGGCTCCAAAACCTGGCAAATAAAAGCCTGGAGAGCCAGCACCAGTCTGGAGACCAGCAGGAGGCACAGGAAAACTGCAAGCCGCTCTGTTCCTGGGCCTCGGAAGTGGTGAGCTCGCAGAGGCAAGAGAAGCTCTGGGGAGGGCCTGGGAATGTGGACGAGGGCCCTGCAGGCCAAGATGGGCAGATGGAGGGAGGAAGATGTTTGTGCTCCAGATGGTGAAGGAAATTCCAGGGAAGGGAGAACCATTGCACAGTGGGCTGACAACACAGGTCCTATCCAGAGACACCTGCTCACACTCACACCTGTACACACACACACAGAGAAAGGTAGATGTAAGGAAAAGGCAGCACCATTCAGGCACACCTCACCTGTCAGACCAGCCAGCCCTGGCTTACTCACCTGGAATGCAGTATTTAAAGAACTCACCATCCCACCTCCACACCCACGTAGAAACATCTCCCCACTGTGTTTCAGATGCTCATGGCGTCCCCCCAAACCCTGGTCCTCTGTCTGCTGGTCCTGGTAGTCAGTGAAGACTGGGGCCAAGAGGCAGCCATCCCAGGCTGCCACCTGCACCGTGAGTACCTCTGGGACCAGAGGACTAGGAGGAGTGGAGGTTCTGGGTGGGAGCAAAGAGCTGATAGACTGGACGGTGGGGTAGGCAGCACCCTAGAGGGCACAGGCGACAGGAGCTGGGGCGAGGCGAACCTTCGCAGAGGCGCCGTCCACTGCTTGTCTCCCTCTAGCCTTCAATGTGACAGTGCGAAGTGACCGCCAAGGCACCTGCCAGGGCTCCCATGTGGCACAGGCCTGTGTGGGCCACTGTGAGTCCAGCGCCTTCCCTTCTCGGTACTCTGTGCTGGTGGCCAGTGGCTACCGACACAACATCACCTCTGTCTCTCAGTGCTGCACCATCAGTGGTCTGAAGAAGGTAAGGAGGGCCCGAGCCTGGTGGGTGGATGTTGGGGTGGGAGGAAGACGCAGGAGATGGAGGCCCTGAGAAAGGGGCCTGCAGCACTGACTCCCCTCCTGCAGGTGAAAGTACAGTTGCAGTGTGTGGGGAGCCAGAGGGAGGAGCTCGAGATCTTCACCGCCCGGGCCTGCCAGTGTGACATGTGTCGCCTCTCACGCTACTAGCCCATCCTCTCCCCTCCTTCCTCCCTTGGGGCACAGGGCTTGCCATTCTGATGGGGAAAACCTGGGTTTGAGATTCAAAAACTGGAAGGAACTCCAACCCTGCTGGTTACTTGCTATGGAATTTTTTTAAGTAACGGGGGGTTGTTCCAGCTCTGACCCTCATGAGATTTTGTGACTGTCACCTCCTGAGAAGAGGGGAGTTTCTGCTTCTTCCCTGCCTCTCTCTGGCTCTTCTAAACCAATCTTTCATCATTTTACTTCCCTCTTTTCCCTTAACCCTAAATAAAGCAAGCAGTTCTTGAGTTTCTCTCTTTATTAAGTCTACCCCCAGCCAGGGAAAGAGGGTAGACCATGATTACTATGACCCCCCCCCTTACCCCAGGACACTGTGAATCTCTTCTTGCCTGTGCCCTCACCCTCCCCCTGCCCAATAAATAAAAAGGGGACAAGGAAGTACACAGCGAGGGAGGGAAGGAGTGTGCCCCCAGGACAGTGTCTTTGTAGAGGGTGAGCTGGGAGAGAATAAATAGACCATGGACCCCATAGTGATGAGGAAAGACCTCGTGCTGGCCAAGGCAGGGGCAGGCGAGGCGCTGAGTGCCCTTGCCCAAGGCCAGGAGCAGAGGGTGGGAGCCTGCCTGCAGCCTGGAGCCCAGCTTTGCGGGGCAGGGGAAGATCCCTGATGGCAGCTTCCTGGTCAAGCTTGCCCTTGTCAAGTCCTGCCACGAGGGGCTGAGCATTCTGTTGCCAAGACCACCATCGCCTCTCCTCCTCTCCCCCCAGTGAAAGCTGGGCCGGGCAGGGAGTCCTCAGAAGCCACTCTGGCAAGGCCAGGGGTAGGTGTGTTTCTCTCTGGGCCCCTGGACAGGAGAAGGGATAGAGGGACTGACAGCTCTGGGTTTAGCTTCTCCTCTTCTGAGGTGCTGTCTAGCTCTGACCCCCACTGGTGGCCACCTGGGGTGTAAGCCGCTGGAAGGGAGCCTCCTTGGCCCCCTGGGTCCCCTGTAGCCGGCGTAGCCGCAGCTCCTCCAAACCTTGCCATAACTCCTGACGCTCCTGGGCCTTCTGCTGCTCCCTGGGGAGAGAAAGTGAGGCAGCTCTCCTTCCTGGCCACCCCCCTACCACAGTCCAGACTCCCTCACTACCACCCCACTGGCAAAGGGAAGGCATGAAACGATTTTTGTTCAGTGACTCCATAAAAACCCTCTGCTGAGGGAAGAGAGAGAGGAGAGACTGATGCCAGCCTGCGGTCACGGAGAAGATGATGGGTGGGGCTCTGAGTGGTTCTGGCTGAAGAGTAGGAAGCTACAGAGAGAACAAGTCCAAGCTACTCGAAGAATGATGGGAAGATACAGGGGCAGGCAGTCAGGCACAGGATGGCAGGAGCATGGAGAGACTTGCGGACTTGTGGCATCTCATCAGATAGGGTTTGGAGTGGTCCTTGGGTTCCCTCCAGCCATGGGCAGTCTCATTCCTCCCTGTTGTTCTCCCTTCCCCCACACCCAGCCCCCAACACTCACTGCTGCTTTTCCAGCTTGTAGGAGGCTGTGAGCTCATCAAACAGCTTCCCATTCATCTCCATGAAGGTCTTGAGCACATTGTAGATCAGCGATACGATGGTT